TGCCAGCCAGAGCACTTACACTACCAGGCCACTGCTCAAACATTTCCATCCATTCAGTGATTGAGTCCTATTCATATTTAGTTTTTATACTAAAGCCTAGCTAAATCATTCCCATGCCATATGAAACCCAGAGAGAAATAAATCTAGCTGCAGGAATATCACAATAACATATGCCAGAGCACTTACACTACCAGGCCACTGCTCAAACATTTCCATCCATTCAGTGATTGAGTCCTATTCATATTTAGTTTTTATACTAAAGCCTAGCTAAATCATTCCCATGCCATATGAAACCCAGAGAGATCCAAATAAATCTGACAGCAAACCTGCTCTCTCAGCCTCATGTTCACGCTTCGATCTCTGTGACATTACGTGGGTTCACTGCTGGAACCGAAAAAACGCTGTAGTCAATATTTTGCAAAGCAAAGCAGCTTGAAAATGTCAAGAACATAAAACTGAGTCAAGTTTTATTACATTTATGAAAATGGAAATGTGCAGTGTTTCTGCATGGAAAATTACACCGACATAGCTGTATATCTGTAAAAAAAAAAAAAAAAAAAACACTACATAAACTTTATACCTTTAAAAAAAAAAAAAAAAAAACACAGCAGCATATAAAGCAGGAAAAGTAATGCTAATATACATAGAAAATAGGCAGTTGATGACAGTAGTCAACAAGAAATAGTTTCACATTTATATTCAGTAATGTGTTGCAGCACACTTATTGAGGGGGGGAAAATGTAGGTCATTTGAAAATATTACTGCAGGAATCAGGCCTTATTTATGGCTAGTTTATTACATTAACTAGCATTAAATTACTGACAGCATTGTGCAGCCCTACATATTACTACACTATTTTTAATCTGATTGTCATTTGCAATGCTTCATGGGATTGTAGTTATTTTCCTCATTAAAGCCGTTAAGTACACAGTCTTATACCTTTGTCTTTTTGTCTGATTTTCAAATTTTTTTTTGCTTCAAACCAAAGTTTGTAATGTTGTGATTCACCTGGTTAGTTCGGTTCATGGCTCATAACTCTTTAAAGAAAACTTTTAAAAAATCCTTATAAGAGAAACACTTCCGGAACCAAGGGTGCTGAAAAAGTGGGGCAGACATTCTTTTATTTTTCAATAATCTGTTACACTCTGAAGTACGTCACAATATATCGCTACAACCGTTTCATTGTGACTTTTTGAATATTGTATATATTTGATCAAGTATGATGGAAACATTTACTGCATAGTAGGAAGGACCATTATATGTAAATTAGTGGTTGACCGATATATCGGCCTATATTTGGAACTTTTCAAATATCGGCATTGGCCGATAAGTTTTTCTGTTTGGCCGATGTGTTCGAGGCGGGACTTTTATTTTGACGCCGCTGAGAACGGCAGCGCCTGAGCGCACACCGCTCACATTCTCCCTCTTGTTCGCTGTCGTCGTTCAGTTCTGTCTAATATGGATAGAAGTCTATCTAATAATCATATAGAACTGTTAAACAAAGGAATTAAAATGTATACAAAAAAGTATTATAACGATTGCTTTAATATTATTAGTAATAGAAAGGCAAACATTATAATACTTTCTCATTTGCCGTCAGCATTCAGCAAATACGCATTTATATCATTTAAACAAATCTTTGAATGACTAATGAACATTTAATTTCACAAACCTTGCAGACTTAAGCCCCGTTCACACCAAGAACGATAACTATAAAGATAACTATAAAG